TCCTACTCCTACTCCTACTCCTACTCCTACTCCTACTCCTACTCCTACTCCTACTCCTACTCCTACTCCTATACTTCCTTACTTACTTACTGACTGACTGACTTCTTTACTTCCTTACTTCGTTGCTTCCCGAAAACGACGACGACGACGACAACGACGACGACAGGAACAAGTACACTCTCCCTTAGTTGTTTGCAAGGGGGGAATGCTCACTATTCAAGATGAAACATTAAGGGGCAGAAAACGTTCTCGTTCCAGGGCGATGGAAGCAGGTCAAAAGTCAATTAGATCATGCCGGTTGAGCCATCCCACTTCCGATTTACCCCAACTGTTGTCACAAGCGAAAACCCAGCCAGGCATTGCAGATGCTCCTTGCGATTCTTTTTCAACAAAGCCACTGCTTTCGCGCGCAGTTCCTGAGGAGCCGAGTGTGGCAGGAAGGTGATGGATGGTCTGGAGGGTTTTAAGGGGCACCTGCCATTGCAAACAGAAGAACAATGCCAGGCTCTGCTGGATCAGTCGCAACTGTAGACCGTCGGGGATGCGAGGTCATTCAGTGTTGTCGCAAACAAAGAAGCGCAGTTAGTCAAAATTGCTTGCCACTGCAGTGGGAACCTGTACATGATGGCCCCCCCTTTTCATTGAACATCAGAACATGTTTCAGTCCAATCATCTTACCTCTTCCATGCCTCTGGTCCAACTTCATCCCAAAAACCAAGGACAACTCTGAGAATCCGAACTGGTATACAGAGATTTGAAGAGCGATGGCCTCCAACCTACTAGCAATGGCCTCCAACCTAGAAGCGATGGCCTCCACCCTAAGTTAGAGCAATGGCCTCCAACCTAAGAGCGATGGCCTCCCCCTGAAAAATGGTAGTGAAGAACCCCTTGAATAAAGCCCCTTTATGCCGCCACCTACATAATACTCTTGGGACCACCCAAAAAGCCCACACGCCTTGCTGCGCGTGTCCTCCTCCGCCTTTGGGCGTTGGGACGAGGCGGTGGCGGTCTCACCTGCACGGACGAAGCCTCTGACGGCGTTGATCAGCGGAGCTTCCATCGAAACTGGGAGGTCTTCGTCCGACTGGTCATTGACTGGGAGGTGTTTGATTCTTTTAGGGTTGACTGGACAAAAGTCGTCGGTGGGGTTAAAGACCCTTCCCTTTCTTTACACATCAGTCTCGTGGTCAGCATCCATGCGGTCTCCTTTTTCCACAGCAGATGTGTTTAAGTATATAATATGTCAGGGCTGCTGTCAGGGCTGCTGGCAAGTGCTGACATCAGGCCAACAACCCTGCAAGAGTTCTTTAAAGGTGAAAACACCTTGGAGTCACTCTCAGTCTATTTCAGGTGACATCTTGGAAGATCCGTTCGCCCGAACAGAACCGCTTAAATGAGGATTGAGTCCTTTTTGAGTGGGGACTGTGGGAATTGAATTCTACACAATCAAGCTATATAACATATATATATATAGGATCAAGAACGCTACTAGGGGCTCCTGGCCTTACTACTTAGGGAGCAAGAAGCTACTAGGGGCTCCTGGCATCGCTACTAGGAGCAAGGACGCTAGTAGAGGCTCCTGTATATACATATATGAAGGCGGCAGGAACAGCTTGTGACTTGTCATTCATGATCAAACAGCATCCCAGCATCCACCAGCTTTCCCAAGACGTCTTTGGGTCTTAGTTTCTGAGCTGAAAGCCACAGGGCTCTCCTACTTTCACTGCTTGGCCATTGGGAATGGCCGAGGTTTGCAAGTCCGCTAGGAATTTCACATCTTCTGCACCTCAGAACGCGATCTCGAGAAGACCATTCCACATAAAGCCGGGAAAAGCGCCGTCACCGGCGGTTGCTATTTCCACAGCACAAAGCATGCTCACTTGTGGTGTTTCACCTGATATCACCTGATTCTGATTTACACTCCTGGGGCAAAGAAAATGAAAACCATTCACAGTGAATTGCCCGATCAATGTATGGTTAGACCCATCCAACCAGTTGCTTTTCCACTGGAAGTGATAAAAGTATTGCTATCCTGTCAAGCACGCAGCTGCCTTTTAGTGCAAATCTTCTCAGTTTGCATGCAGTCCTCATTCCCCTTTCACATCCTGGACTGCTGCTTGATTTTGTTGGTAGTTGTCAGGTTTGGTTTAAGGGGCAATTTTTGCGAATCGTCCAATCAACTTGTGCAAGTCACAAACAAGGTCCCCGCCACATCCGGGGTCCAGGGCACAGTAGGCCAAGGGCTTTGGCCGTGTCAAGAAGCTGAAGATCTCCCGGAACTGCTTGGGCTTCAGCGGGATGGGGCAATCAAAGTGCGCCGACACCACGCGCTGGAAATCCCAAGCAGAGATCCGGTCCTCAGCACAAACACAGTACAGGCGGCGAGTGTGAGCTGGGGAGAGAGAGAGAGAGAGAATGGTTCAAAAACCACACATGCCAACGCCCCAAAGTCAGAATAGTAGGGTGGCAAAAGACAGGCCTCATCAATAATAGATAACAGTGGTGTAACTTATAGTGTAAGTGTAACTACCTCAACGATGCGGTCCCTCCACTTTAAAATGCATCTCTCGAAGACTTGTTTACAAAGGCCGGCCATTCAGTGTGGGTGGCCCCGCCCTTGCGCTGTGCCAAGTGTCAACGTAACTCAAGGTCTTCTCCGGCTGCTGCTTGAGGATCAACTCCTCTGCAGCACATCCACATGATGTGTGTGTGTGTGTGTCGCAGTGCACTATCCGACTATAAGTAAGGCTGGGCAATGTTTTGTTTCCACTAGCAGCTGGCAACTGGTGGGATTGGCTTGATCAGTCCGCCAAATTCAGGTAGTATCTCAAACTCGTTTATCAAACTGTGGAGCACGGACAATTCCTGTCCTTCCTAGTACACAAACACGACTCGTACACTCGAGAGTGCAAACAAAATGAGACAAACCCAAAAATTGATGATAGTAGCTAGAAGCTACTAGGGGCTCCTGGCCTTACTACTAGGAGCAAGGATGCTACTAGGAACAATTTCTCCCACATCGACGTCGGGATGCGTGTGTCCTGGATGATGGGCGCCACAAAAGGCCGACCACCTTGTCGCAGGCGCTGGAAGCTTTTCTCCCATCCCTCTTGCCACTGCCAAGGCCGCGTCACCCCAGCCTTACTCCACGTCTTCGGCCAACATCGTTAATGCAAGGGACTTAGGGGCGTACATGATAGGCATTGACAGGCTCTTCATGAGGCTCTGAGAGCTTGGGGGAAGTATTCTGCAGGTCTAGCATGATGAGGCTCTGCATGATGCAAAAATGTCTGAGGCCTCTGCTCTTGGGGTTTCTTGGGACTTTGTACTCCCGTCACAAGCTTCAAAAGGGGTTCGTTGATCCACCCGCCTCGGGCACTTCGACTTTGCCATCAGACAATGCTCCTGGGTTGAAGAAGGTTGCAAACCTCAGCTCTGTGTCGAAATGATCAAATGCCGGTGAGAACCGAATGTCAGTCTCATCCAAAGCAACTCTTTTGCCATTCTCTGCGGAAAGAACGTACTAGAAGTGAATCTATATGGGCGTTGTATCTTGAGCCTTTCCATCCTTGCTCCCTATGAAGCACAGCTGTGCAGGAATACTGCTTTATGATTTGGCCGCCTCTACCTTCTTCTTCCTGGTCAAACAACTTCCCCCACTTCCAATTTGATCTGAGTCACAGGGCAATCCGCGCCCAGCCCTTCCTCCGCACCTCCACCGTGTCCGGAAGCTCATTTTGTGCGGCCTCGCGGGCGTGGTAGGCCAGCGCCCGACGATACCTGAAAAATGCACTGCAAAAGACGCAAAAGTAGAGCGTCTGGAGAGTTCAAGGATACTACAAGAAGCATGATGGTAGCTGTCCATGAACCAAACAAATTAATAAAGTAGGATTGTAAAGGCTTGTATGGAAAGCCCAAAATTCCTGACTCATTGGCTCCCCCGCAAAAGTGGGTTGACCACGAAGCTGACTGGTTTAGCATCTGTGCGTTTCTACGTGGCCGGACATGGCTGCTTGACAGGGCAGAAAGCTTTTTATTCTGTGACCCTGCAGCATGCTTTCATGCGGAAGGCTAATTATCGGCTGCAAGGCAACATACAGCTGATGACCTTTTACGATCGATGCAAAAAGATCCAAGATTGCATGCAAACACAGGGGGGATGAGCGTTGCGCTGCATTTCCCACCGGTGTTGGTTCACTTCCACTCACCCGCGTCTCTCGTGCGGACCGTCACACGGGTTCGCTTAGTTAGTGGTTCCTATCGGTGGATAAAGGGAACGGCCACGCTCTACGCTCTACTCTCTATATATAAACGTGGAGTCGACGAGTGCGAGAGGTAGTAAAGGCTTGTATGGGTCCAAATCACACCCAACAAAAACGGTCCTGGAGTTTTAATTAGTGGGGCAAAACAATTGTCCAAGCTTCAAGCTTGAGTTCTTTTGGGGAGGAGCTTTTTCCTCACCTATCCCGCTGATTTCACTCCCAGTGGCTCAGGATCCAGAAGCAATTCCGGTGGATCTTCTGGGATCGAAATCACCGAATCGGTCACGACCAACGTCTTGGAGCCTTGGCACCATCTGCCAGACATGAGTCAAATCTTCGAAGCCCAAAGCCCACTCTTCTAACATGCTTGACCACTTGGGTTTTGGGGAGGCTGCATCCTTGTCCAAATGATATCCTGTTGGAGCATCACACGCAGTTTAGAAGATGAAGGCAGGGGCAGTTCTGAAGTTCTTGCTGGTACGCAAGAAAATCTAGCACCCAGCGCTCTTTTCGGCCCATGCCAGCTGCGCAAAGAGCTGATGCCCAAGCTGCCAACCTCCTCACAATGCCACAAGTGACGTGGGATGTAACAACAAAGAAAAACTAGCTCTACAAGTCTCGGTCGTGAATGTTGCAGCTGGCAAGGTACAACAAGTTCCATATTGATGAACCCACCACAAATATCAGCGGACTCATTGTTTTCAGTTGCAACCAAGCAAGTGCACCCAGAAAAAAAGAAATTGAAAAGACGACGTCAAGTCTTGGCAGGTTTCGCTCTAAGGCGACGTCCTCTAAGATTCCAGATGCCACCTGGCAATTGCGACCATGCAACGAAACATCGAAAAGCACCAGCGGCGCAGCGCCAACAAATGGACGACCTCCTTTTAATAGGGAGATGTTGCCGGGTCAACAAACCTGTTTCCTTTTCTTTTTTCCCGCTCCTACTAAATTAAATAAGGGACCCTATATAGTAGGGGAGAAGTTCGCTCCCAGCAAGGACGCAGAATAGCTCACGCTTCTCCAAGGAAGCTCCTCCGCCTGAGGGCGGGGAGAGCTTCCTTGAAGAAGCGCTCGAACTAATCATTCCCAGACTTTTTAGGGAAACTGAAATATAATGAAAGGCTTTGCTGATCTGATCAAGCCTTCTGCTTCACGCAGGCGTCCAGCACCAGGTCAAGCCTCGCGGTCAGGCACTTTTGGGCTCCGAAACACGGGCAACCAAGGCAACCAAGCGCGAAGTCGGCCAAAATCGGAAGTGGATGAACTGAAGTGGCCGACTTCTGGTGGAAATGTGTGATCAGGCGGATTGTTGCAGCCCAGCGGCGCGAACGGATCAAGCAGATCACTTCTTGCAAGCATGCTTAATGCCAGAGCCCACTCCTTGTACTCTCATGCCAGCAAGAATGAGAAACATGAGAAACATTGAGAAAGCTCAGGTGGAATTCGTTACAGCCAACAGTCCTACGACAGTCCGACCCCCCTTCGATGCATCCAGGGTCGTCGGGTGAAGATCAAGTCCAGTCCAGCTCCCCCCACACCGCGCATCAGCTCGTCCTACAGCTCCAAGTCTCCAATTGCCGTGCAAGGGCAGCCGTGGCCGTGGAAAACAGGTCTTTCCAAAGATCTTCCGCCGTTCTCCGTGGGTCTCGAAACCTGCGCTCAATCGATCCCCAAAAGTGGAAGAGCAGCTGCCAGGGGCCCTGGTCCAGTGATGCCCCACAGGCGCTGTAGCTGATCTCATTGGCTTCCGTGGAGAAACGACCTTCCAGCTGGAAGACTCGAATCAACCACGTCACATGTCCAAGCAGACTCCGGAAATGTACATGCATCATCGTGCATCAGGCAATCATTGGCATCGTTCTTCCTCCTACTGATCTTGCAAAATCCCTCTGCACAGAGTTCTGTGTTACTGCCCAGGTCTTTAAAACTCTGGGGGTAGGACCACAACTCCGAAAAAAAAAAAAAAGGAGAGGCAGGGTCATATCTATCCATATCTCATGTTGGAGGCCATCGCTAGCTGTTGGAGGCCATTGCTATTAGGTCTAGAATCGTCTAGAAACGTCTTCCAATTATTTTATGTTTAAGAATTAGTTTCCACCTCTTTGAGGGGGGGTAGAGGACGCTTCTAGGAGCAAAGGGCATCGCTACTAGCAAGGATGCTACTAGGGGCTACTACTACTAGGAGCAAAGAAGCTACGAACGGAGCTTTCTCATCCCCTTCTCCCGAAAAAGCGCCTAGGTGGCTCAGAAGGTCCACCGCATTCTGCCAGCGCTTGGCTAAGGCGCAAGAGGAGAAAGCTGCATTGGTAGCACCCAGGTAGCCTGAGATTCCCAGGTCCGGTAGGATGTTCGACTTTCTTTGGCAAAGAAGTCAAGCACCTGTGGAAAAATGCTTTAAGAAGTTTAAGCAATACATACATGCCAATCATTTATATAGCATGAAATGGCAAAATGCTTGGAAAGGGTACAAGTTAGGATACGGGTGTTAATGTGAAGTCGTCTTTCTGCATCCAGGTTACTAGAAAAGTCAGGAAAATGGCCTCCTTTGGCCATGTATTGATCCAAGTCCCACCGCAAATGTCGCCTGCCAAGGATTTGGAATGTCGGACACTAGAAGTCCCACCTTAGCGATTAGCTTCCAGGATGTGAGCAATATTGGGCTATGGCTCAAAAATAGGATACTGTCCAAGCCCACTCGAAATGGGAAAATCATGAAACATCGACTTCTTGAGCCATCCAATGACGTTGGGCGCCTGAGCTGTGTCACCAGCCCCAAGGCACGACGCCAGCTCTTCCGCGTGGAATACACACATGAACTCCAGGAGGCAGCATCGGCCTGGACAGAGATCACATCAGATCAGCCTCCCCCATTCAGGGGGCCAATCCCCGAGTCTGATCGCGCTCATCACACGCAAAAGAAAGGGAATAGCGCTTTTCGGCGCTTGCGAGGGAACCTTGTTGAAGGTCGGGAAATAGCAGTACATGGATACAAAGACATTTGTTCTTTGGGTACAGCAACCAACCAGCGGGACTGTTCTAAAGTGTTCCAAAAAAGCAGTCCTAGGGTCTGTTCGCACATGCCAAACAAATGCTCCAACTCCAATCTCCTACAACTGAGTCTATTCCCACTGATGAGTCCGACGCTCCTCCCCCCACCTGCACTCCCTGCTGCCGCAATGTGGCCAAGATTCCCAAGCATTGGCTGGGAGCTTCCCTAGTGCTTGTGAGCAATTCGTTGAACGCGAAGCGCGTCCTGGATCGTCAACGGGAGTTGCCGACTGTCAATCCCGTCAGCGTCAGCGTCAGCGTCAGCAGGTCCTCTCTTTCAATGACCAAAAGATCTGCAGTGCTGTCGCCCAGGAGGTCTTCTTCAACAGCAAAACTTCAGCTGCCTCACCTGTTCGTTCGAAATCCAGTCAACGCGAAAACGGTGAATGGCGAGCATCAACTTCTCAATCAACTTCTCACGAGTCTAGTTCAACAGAATAGGTGTTGCAGTCCAACCACCAAAAAGCCAGGATCAACCTCTTTGTACGAGTTACTGAGTCTCTTATAGTCTCTTCACCTCACCTTGGGGCCAGCACGACTGCCGGCACTTCAAAAGAAGCCAGATGCTCATGCGCCATCCCATAGCCTTAAAACCGTGCCGGCCCAAATGATCTTGATACAGAGCGCGGTAACTGCCAAAATTGACATTGTAGCTACAGCTGCGACACGTTTGATGATCACGGAGCTTCCTGTGCCTACATATCCCTCCTATCATTGCAATACAAAAAATCCATGCTGACACAAGACCGTCGAGCAGCCTTCAAGGCTGAGTTGAAGGCTAGCTGGTCAGCCTGCCGGCAAAAAACATTACAACAAACAGCAAAGATTCACCTGGCCCGGCTTGATCAGCAGGAGACTTACGACGCGCAAATTCAAGGTCATTAAGCTTCCGAGTCCCTGGAAAGATGCGATTTAGATCGATCTAGTGGTATATAATGATATATAGTAAAGAACATTGCTTCGAACATCCCTTGAACACAAGACATGCACATGCACGACAACTCCCTTCAACCCTGACAACAGCATGGAAAAACTGTCAATGAGAGTCAGTGCCAAGCCTGCCCAAGCCATTCCAAAGACTGACGCCATGCAGTTACCAATACAGGCACCCTGCAGCATTAGCCAATTCATGTCGTAAATCAGGGGCCCAAAGTCCCTTGTCGAGGAAAAGAGTGAATCAGACTTTAACACTTAAGGGTAAGCTTCATGACGGTTCGACAACCCTGACACGTCGCAAGACAAGTACAAGACTTCAGGACATTCCCAAGTTCAAAACACAACTACGGATCTGACCGGACCCATATCACTAGTAGTGGACGCTACATACTAGGGGCTCCTGGCCTTACTACTAGGAGCCTAGTGGGGGCTCCTGGCATCGCTACTCTGGCATCGCTACTAGGAGCAAGAAGCTACTAGTAGCAAGTGAGACCCAAGACGTTACTTTCTTCTTGATTTGCACTCGACGGTTGCCTCACGTCCTTCTGCCTGGCATCTGCCAAAACGTCGAGCGCTTCGCTCCAGGGCAAGCGCCGCACAACCTGACACCACTTCCAAAGGTGTCGTTTGGGTTTCCCTTCTATCAACATTCTTCCATGGCCTTTACCTCCTCATATCCAGGACTGTTCTCTGCTGTGGGGCCCGCACTCTTGCCACCACCGGCTGGACACGTCTCCTCCAAAGATGCTGCAGCAGCAGTAGCGGATCGTCCCACCCGTGTGCCCTCAGCACTGGAGACGGGTTGCAAAAGGCGAAAGACAACATCCATATCTTTACAGACCCAGATTGAAGTGGAAGAGTTGTAGAGGTAGGTCCAATTTTGAAGCTGTTTGCAACTATATATATATAATCAGACGCCATTCTCCACTGGAGGGCTTCTCACTGGCCCTTCTGTGACTGCAATAACCTGCCTCTGCGCTCCAGAGCCGGGCCCGGGCCCCTGCACGAAAAAACCATTGAAAAAATGCTCATCTGAAACATTGGATCCGAAGAAACCTTCCCCTTCATCATTCATCTGAAACATGGAGGCCTGGTGGCCTCTGTCCGACAACCTGTCTCCCAGCTTATGAAGCTTCTCTGAACAAATACGCCTTGTGAACCCAGCTTGTGAGTTCAAGAGCCCCTCCCTCCATCTCGTCGATGCCACACCTCTGCCCTTCCAAGTTTAGCCCCGCCTAAGTGCAGAAATCATCTCGATCATGCTGTAAAGGTTTTAGAACTGACTTGTCTGAATGATCCATTGCCAATGGTTTGAGGGGATCGGATGCAAGTTACAGTACAATGTTTGTAAACATGCAGTTCAAGCTCAATGCTGAGGCAAACGCTCTGGGCCGCCGGTGCAGACCACATCCATGGCTGAAGTTGGTCGCGCGCCAGGCCAAGCAGAAATCATAAAACATCTGCATGTTTCAGAAGCATGAACAGCTTGGCTGGTGATTGTTGTATGGCTCAAGAAAGGAAACGTGCACCTTGGCACGTGACCAACAGCCTTTTTAATCAAGAAAAACAAAACTACAAATTCAGTTGCCTGGCAAGTAAAATGGTTACAGGATAAGGACTTTTTCATTAGGATAGTAAGATGAATGTCGGGGTCGTCCCTGTGTTTATTCTAAAGGATGTAATTCACTCAGTGGTTGCTTGATTGGCAGCTTGGCTGTCTCTTGAGCATCACTTCATTTAATGACATTGTCCTTAAACTTTGAGCCAAGCACTCCTAAAGAGAGGGCAACTGTAGAAACCAGCAAACTGTTTCAGGGCCATTGAGGGCCCTAATGGTCTTGGGCTAGCTTTCCAACGGTCGCCGGGCCGGTTGCAATCTAGACTTCAATATCTCACCGAATCAGCGGTTTCCTAAGAGAAGTTGCCACGTAATCAACGATCCCAGTGAGAAAGAGCTAAAATCAGCTAAACTAAAGCACCTCCAGGATGTTCAACAGTTCTCTTGCATCTCTCTCCACAACCCCATCTGCGGCGAAGCAGCTCTTGTGCAGCAAGGCCACCTCCCCAAAGGTGCTCGCGTCAACCTCAGGATCCGAACGGAAAGCAGGAGGGGCGTGGTGCGCCGCGGCGGGATGGCTGCATAAACGTGTGAGAGGAGGAAAATTGGCTAACGCTGGAGGCCGTCGCTATTTGGTTGGAGGCCATCGCCACTAGTAGCAAGAAGCTACTAGGTGGAGGCCATCGCTATTAGGGTGGAGGCCATCGCTTGTGGTAAAGAGTCCATTGAATGGGAACACATGTTGTGTATGGGAAGAGGAATTTGCCCATGAGTCAGCAGACTCGTGGCAAGTAAAATGTGCACACAAGAAGCTTTTACCCAAGCTGCTAGAACAGTTGAACAACTGGTTGGTTCAAAAATATTGTATAAATATACCGACTGCATATATACATATATAAATATATATCGCATATAGCATCATAAAGCATCATATAGCATCTTACCCTGGTAAGATGCACTCGTGTTTCCAAAACACTTGCAAACTAGCAGGCGCGCCCACAACCAAAGTAAATTGGTGTCCAAGAGAATGCACATGTTTCAAACCTACGAACCTCCAACCACTCCAACTGCTATGCCAACTGTTATCATGAAAAAAATCGGAGAAATCCAAAATGCACCGTTTGCCCTCAGTGACCACCCCACGCAGCCTGGGGATCCGGGCATATGCGGTCTGACAGTCCTCAGCCCAGGGGAGCGACTCCAAGCCCTCCGGATCCAAGACCTGCGGTGGTCCACAGATTACGTGAGCAAAGTGTGGATCACCATCATCTGGTTCATTGATGCCCTGTATTGATTAATTTTGGGGCAAAGAGTCTCGTACCCATCGAAGGGTGCCAACCAACCTGGCAGGAGATTCATGATTCATGACGTCGTTGGCGATCATTGGATGAAAATCGTGGGCACACGGTACCCTGCATGCTGTCGGGGGGGGTGTTAGATCCAGAGCCTACGGAGGAAAATTCGTTATTGAATTCAGATCTGTGCATGCAGGGCCCAAGGTTAGAATCCAAAAAAAGAAGGGCTTTTGACACGGTCAGAGGAGAAGTTGCCCAAATCTGTGGTTCGGTCCCTTTTTTTGCTACTAGTAACAAGTGCGTCGCTACTAGTAACAAGGGCACCGCTACTAGTAACACCTTGTTACTAGTACCGATGCCCTTGTCACAATATAGTATTATACCCTAGCTTCTCTCTCTTTTTTGCTTGTGTTCCGGACATGGCGAGCCTCGTAACTTGGAAAGCCAAGGACATTCAAAGGCAAGTCCTGCGACGGTATTTCCCACGGGCGGTCCCAAGCTAAGGGGGATGGCCCATATCCATGCTGGAAAAACCCAAGATACGTAACTGTTCTACAGAAACCATCTCAAAATGCCATAGTTTTGCTTGCCGGAACATATGATGTACTGTCTGTTGCTCTTCCCTTCAAGATACAATGAAACAAATTAAGGTTTGCCCCATCTAGGGCCCCTACAACGGGGACAGAAAATTGTCCAGGAGCTACAAAGAGCCTCGGCACACGCAAAGCCAGTTTCTCCCATGGTTTCCAGAATCCGTTCGCCAAGTCATGTGCATCAAATCAATTTTGGTTGTTTCCGGCGACTGTGCTGGCCAATCCAAGTACAAGCGCGTTCGAGATTCTCAATGGTAGGCAGTAGGTGGTAGGCCAAACATATGAATCTCAAGTGAGGGACTTGGTAGAAGGAAAGAGAGCCAAAAATGCTCATTGGCACATTGGGTTTAGTGATCCCTGAGTCACAATCGTAAAGCTGGCCAAGGCACTTGGCTTTCGGAAATTTCTTTGCGAAAGGCCCCGCCAATACCTGCAGCCGAAGTGCATAATTGCTTTGGCTCACAAACAAGACGCCTTCTCTCTTCACTACCGAGCCTTACTTCACAGTATTGGGGTGGAACACTGGTCAAATGGTGTTTGAATGTTTGATGATAGGAGTTCATGCTGTGCCCAGAATCTGTCACCTCACCGGGAAGTTGAGTGCATTGAACATGGACCCAAGCCAAGGTTCAATGAACACGGAGAGGCAGCACTGCCCCACCCGGCCTTGTGCTCAACAGCCTTTGAGGGAAGCAAAATCCATCCTCACAGAGTGAGTTGAGAAATGTCTCAAGGGCTACTAGGTACTAGGTCCGAAATTCCAGTATGCTCCCATTGAGGCCGAACATCCAGCACGAAGGCAGCAGGTTGCAAGTAGCTCACATCTACAGCACCTTGAAGGTGCCAAAACACTACAGCACCTCAAAAAGCCTAACACCAGATCAGCAACAACTCTTACGCAATTCAATACGATGCAATACGTACAGTACAGCCGAAGAGCGGACAGGTCCGTGCTTCTTCTCCAGGTCTTTAATCATACCTCAGCTGTCCGTGTCTCCCCAGTTCGAACTAAGTACGAACTCGAGGGGAAAGTGTCAGGTTGATCATTGCGTCATGGGGTCCGTGCCTTTGCGAGCCTGAATTGCTATGTCAAAGCTAAAATTAAAAAGAAGTAACCATTGGTCATTCGGCCCTCAAGCCCAGGCATCCAGCTTGGTGAGATTGTTGACCGTGCAAAGCACTTCCCTCGCTGTTTGACATCAGTAGAAAAACTGAACTTTAAAAAAGGGATCTCGGCAGTTAAGGCAACACCGATCTCTGGCAGAACCAAGGCACTCAGGCATTCCTTGGTGGCGGCCACTGGCGCATAAACCAAGAGGCCGTCCTTCACCTATGGCCAATGAAAAACGACGCTCGGGGTGTGGAGGTGTTTGGTTTTGGGGGAAGGCGAATCGAGGTCCTACGAAAGAGATAAAGCAAGTACTTGCTTGCTGCACCAAGGTGAAGAAAAAAGTAGTAAAGTTTAAAGTCTGTTTGGTTGCAGCACGCAAAGAGAGAGGGGGAGAGAGAAAAAGAACAAAATCATTCCATGATTCCTTGCCTACCCGAAAACTGCCCAAAGTGAACAAACAAGAAGGGGTCAACATCAGCAGTTTCGTTCAATGCTTGTGCTACTCACAACATGAAAACGCATGCCTCCCCAACAAAAAAACAGTCTAGTTTAGTTTTTGAATTCAATCCTAGTCCCCGAAGCGACTCCGGAGTGCGCAACAACATTCACCATGTTGCAAACATCCCGGGTCTATGTATATGTATATATATGCTACCCCCCACCAACACCCGCCTTTTGCGTTGAGAATGACACATGGTTCCCCTTGGTTGCCAAAGAATATTCTAAGTGCATTCAATCAAAAAACGTGTTCAAACTTCCGGCAGCTTGCTGTATATTAGTTTATCAATAAGCCATATTTGTACCTTTCTGGTGGCGAATAGGCTTGATCAATAGGGAAGGCTTCTGCCACGAACAAATTCATTAGAGGGAGGCCAATTTTGGTTTGACGTTAGTTTAGTGTTGGGGGCTCGAGATGGGTTTGATTAATTGTGGATGGTTACTTAATCCTATGTTAACATTGAACTTAATTCTTTGGCTTAGCAGATAGAATATGGAGAACCCCAAGTGCCATATAATCTAACCTACTAGTGATGGCCTCCAACCTGCTAGCGATGGCCTACAACCTACTAGCAATGGCCTCCAACACTCTAAAGCATTCACACCTAGCCATCCTGCAAGGCAGGACCATTCAACAACTGCAGATTGAATATGCGTATTCTATCTGCTTGGTGGTCATACCGGGTTCCATTTTGGCCGGAATCTCGAGGATACATTCAGATACCGAAAACAATTTAAACATATTCTAACCGAAAACTATTTAATCATTCTATCTGTTAGCAGGTTACAGTATGATGTTGCCTCATTACTTTCTTGTCAGTTAGTGTCCAGTATCTCCCTACTATAGTGAAACTGAACCATGGTGAAACTGATCTTCTCGCCCACCCTTTTACCTTGCATCTGCGTGAAATCATTCCAGCTGGCGCTGGTGTTTTCACCTTTTTGGACACTGGCGCTTTCATGAAAAAATCTTGATCATTCTCACCACCGCCCCTCAGCTGCCTCAATCTGCTCGCCCAACCTCCTGATTGCTTCTCCTGAAGGCTCACGGTACCATTCTGGCAAAATTCTACCAACACCTTAAGAAGCTCACCCCCTACCCCCTCTGAAAGTGGAGGGCACCTCCTTCTATTCATCAAGCCCGCCCTTTGGCCTCCATCGTGCCTTCCATCTCTTTCATCCTGCAATCCTCGTCCAGTATAGGGATCCACCCTCACCACACAAAGCACCCATAGCCCATTCCTCCTCCATTGGGCCAATCTGCCAAACTCCCTTTGTTCTCGTTTCTAAACTCTCATGGTTCACACAGAACGCCGTCAACCATCATCCATCATCAGGTCATCATCTCTATTGGGAGGATGTGGTCTCCAACACCTCCAATCTCAAACCTTGTTCACCTTGTTGACCTCGAAGGGGTGAACAAATATGTAATAGGAGCTCTGGGCTGGTTCTTCGTATCATTTTCTCACAGTCCAGTGCGCCAGAAGTTTTCACCAAATGAAGTATAGCAGCCTCACAACTCATCACCAAAAATCATGTTTGAAAGGTTTATGATATTAAAGATGATCACTAAAACACTGCAATGTACAATACAAAGCGCGCGCGCGCGTATACATATATATATATAGTCGGGCGATGATTAGGGGGCCCCCCGGGCGAGTGTTCCAAGACCTATTGAACTTAAAGTTGCCAGTGCTAATGTTAGTGGCCATATATATATATACACATATAGAAGTGCAAGTGTAGTGACTCGGGAAGAAGTTAAAGAAGGAAGTGAGGGAAACCATCGTTGGCGTTCATCAATTGAAACTGAACAGGAAGCATGTTACGGTACCTTACTGATTCGAAGGATATAACACCAGTACAAAATGGATACAGGTATATCAAACAGCTTTTCATACAACACCATGCTTTCAATGTAAAAAGCCTACGTTAAACTGACGCATGCCTGTATTACAGTACATAGTGTTAAAATTGCTGCTTTCACCATCAAGGCTGAACATGAGAAGAACCCAAGGAAAAAAATTGACCTTTATGAATAGGATTGGAGGCTGGAGAATGAGCACATACGCGGATATTAAAGAACCTAATGAAGATTACCAAATTGTTTAAAATCAAATTGTAGAAATACCAACTGCTATATTGCTACTACCTCTAATTCAAGAAAATTCAAATCGATGAATATAATACTAGATTTTGGATATTGTACAGCTGCACTTGTCGGCCACCGCGGTGTCTCGGGCGGTTTCTTCCCTGGTAGTACCTGAGCACGGGTGAATGTTGGTTGGGATTGCACGGATGGATGTGGGTTGAACTCAAAGGGTGCGCCTGCCACAACCCCTCACGAAAACAAACAATTCAATGTCAAAACCTGATTGAACGCACAGAAAAAGATACTCGTGAAAGACCGTCACGAACCCGCCGTCGACGTAGTGACCTTCCCGTCCGCTGCGCCCAGTCGTGGGTGGAATGTACGGTCTACCGCTCCCTTCACCTGGACCGCTGCGGTGATCCACTCTGCGGCCAATCTGTTGATGATGCACTGTTCAGCCACTAACCTGCTGGCGTCGATGCGGCTGCTGAACCACGGTACAGTGGTTTGCGTCTTGCAGGAATGGCATGGGTCACTTCAGCCATGTTCTGCTCGGTCTCCACTGCCGGCGCTGATGATGGTGTCGGGTTTGGACGTGACTTCTGCTTCGGCGCTGTTTTCATGACTTTGGGCGGCGCCTCTTTCTCCTCTGCACCATCATCCATCACAACATCTTCAGACTCTTCCTCGTCATTGGGGAACTGAGGCACCTTACATGCGGGAGACTGGTGGGTGTTTCAATTCTGTTGAACCATATCAGTCAATGGGCCCACTCATTCCAAGTGGAGTTGGAGGGTGAACATATCCAGAATCACAACCTAGAAGAGCAGGGCCAAGCTTGCTAACAGCCGGGCCATTATCAAAACCACCAAGATAGCAGCTAGCAGAGCAAAAGCTCGCTGGCAGGGTCATCGACTCGCTATCGGAATTAGAAGTTAAACATACACATATCAGGAACCACAACCAAGCAGAAACCAATTTCATCTCCCACCAACACCCACCTTTTGCGTTGAGAATGACACATGGTTCCCCTTGGCAAAGTGTGAGCATAGGATAAAGTAACCTCCACAATCAATCAAGCCCATCTCAAGCCCCCACCCCTCCCTCTAATATAGTGACGCGCGCTATTATAGAAGATAATACGACATTATTTCAATCAGAAGACGGGCATTTTGGGGGTGGTTCCGGGTCATGTCCAAATAGAAGACAGGTCCAGAAAAAATACAGATTAGACAAGAGCTGTGCGCGGCTTTTCTCGCACAGCAGATGCAGCCCACAGCACCATTCCAAAGCGCCACCAACCTGTCTCCACCACGCGCACAGCCAGCTCACAGCACCAGCACCGGCACGCGCACAGCCAGCTCACAGCACCAGCACCGGCACCCGGCACCAGCGCCAGCAACCTGTCTCCACCGCATGCACAGCCAGCTCACAGCGCCAGCACCAGCACCGGCAACCAGCAGCCAGCACCAGCACGGGCACCAGCACCAGCACCCGGCACCCGGCGCCAGCCGGCACCCGGCACCAGCACCAGCAACCTGTCTCCACCACGCGCACAGCCAGCAGCTCACAGCACCAGAACCAGCAACCTGTCTCGAAAGCGCGCACGGGCAACTCATTGTTGTTTGAAGTAAGAAGCCCATAGCTTCGCTTTCTGGGGAAATACAAAAAATCACAATTTTCTATTTGCCTGTGACCTGTTTATTTTTGAAGATTGCCTACTTTTCAGTAGTGGTCATATCTTCTATAATAGTGAACGCCACTATAATTTTGTTCCTGGCAGAAAACTTCCCTATTAATCAAGCCCATTTGCCCCAGAAAAGTATAAATATTGCTTATTGACAAACTCATATACAGCAACCTGCCGGAAGTTAGAAAACATTTTTGATTTGAACGCACTTAGATTACTTTTTGGTAACGTTGAATTTAAATGCTTCGGCTTTGCAGATAGAATATGGAGAACCCCAAGCGCCATATCATCCAACCTGCTAGCAATGGCCTCCAACCTGCTAGCGATGGCCTCCAACCTACTAGCGATGGCCTCCAACCATCTGAAGCATTCACCTAGCCATTCTGCAAGGAAGGAGCAGTTCACCAACTGCAGATAGAAAATACATATTCCAACTGCTTGCTGGTCATACCTGGCTCCATTTTGGCCGGAATCGGGAGGATACATCTAAATACCTAAAACTACCTAATCGTATTCTAACTGTCAGCACGTAACGGTTACAGTATTACGTTGCCTCATTACTTTCTTGTTGGTTAGTATCCAATATCGCCGATCTTCTCGCCCACCATTCCAGCTGGCGCTGGTGTTTTCACCTTTTTGGACGCTGGCGCCTTCGTGATATCATCTTTATCATTCTCGCCACCACCCCTCAGCTGCTTCAATCTGCTCGCCCAACCTCCTGATTGCTTCTCCTGAAGGCTCACGGTACCATTCTGGCAAAATTCTACCAACACCTTAAGAAGCTCACCCCCTACCCCCTCTGAAAGTGGAGGGCACCTCCCCTATTCATCAAGCCCGCCCTTTGGCCTCCATCGTGCCTTCCATCTCTTTCATCCTGCAATCCTCGTCCTTTTTCTAAACCATCACTCCAACTGAACCATCCAGTATAAGCATCCACCC